TCTTCTGGGTTAACAGTTTCCACAGAGAAGAAATAGATACTTCACCCACCATTGGAGAGCCACATGGTCCAATCTCTCCCTATGGGCACTGAGTAACCTTTGGTGCAATTAGCTATGCAAAGGAGCGATACTCTACATGCAGAGGCAAGTCACCTTGTGTGTGAGTGATTGCCAAAGTCAGGCTGTGTGCATGCGAATGAACCTGCATTATGTAGGTGTGCTCACCCCAATGCATTTCAGCTGCTTCTGAAAGTGCCTGGGGAAGGAGGCTAGCGAAGGAAGCTGATGCATTAAATTAAATGAGCAGCTTCAGCTTTCTGCCAGCTGTTTTTCTCATACAAACACAGGCACCTGCCCATTCACACCAACACTTGGGTCAGTTATGGATTCCTGAATATCAGAGAGCTCTCTGTGGTGGGGTTGGGGTAAAAAAACAGTTTTCTGAGGAAGGAAAGGGACACTAAAGATGTACATACTGAGGAGGTGGAAGCCTTGCCGTAAGGACTTTTTTATTTGCACATCTATGGTCTCTGGTTTCTTCCAAACACCTCCCGTTTCTCACTTCAGAGAGTGGGACTGCACACTACTGAGTTAGAAAAGCAGCAGGCTGAAACACCAGGAATGAGACAGAAGCACTGGTCACAACCCAAGATAGGAAGATAATGTACTCCCACTGTTATTTACACACAACAATAAAAAGTGGAAGATCAGGGGTAGGCTGAAGCAGACAGGGACGGCAGGTTGAAGAAGGGCCCCCGATCCCTTGCTCCTACAAGCTGCACCTCCAGCAATCTCATCTAACCCTGCACACCCTGCTTGTGCCTGGCTGAGTGTGGTGCTCACACCTGCAATAAAGTAAAGTGGTGCAAGTGATTCAGTCTCCAAAGATACCATGGTCTTTACAGCCAAAAAGGCAGAGTCTGCACAGCAACGGCTGGGAACGACCTCACCTCCAAGTTTCTTCAGGGACTGGGATTTGCTTTTACTGTGTTGATACAGGCCTTAAAGCAAAGGGGGATGGCTGTACATCCTCCTTGCCTCCAAGCACAGCTTGCTGATGCCAGCCTTGCTCCCTCAGTCATACCTTTCTGCATGGGTGGGCAAGATGAGGCACAGAAGAGAAAAGCAGAGGTAGTGGTAGGAGGCTCCCTGACCCACCAGCCTTTCCATCCAAGCAGAGCACGGCAGCAGCTCTGGGCACAGGCAGTGCCTACCGGTAGGGGCCTTTCCTGAAGACCTGTCCCTGCCATTGCCTCTTCTAGCTGTGCTGCCAAGCCAACAGCTTTATGGCAGTAAAGGCAGGGTGCAGGATGTGCTCACCAGCCCCGGCTGTTCTGGGCATTACTGGCATTATCTCCCTCTCCAACACCTCATTTACTCTTGAAATGGGAAAGGTTCCCTGTCTCCACCATTCATTTGCAGGAGCAAAGTGTGCTCTGGAGCAGCTACTAAAGATGAGAAAAACATTTCTACTGGAGACCCCACTGCACAGAGGTTAGTGCCTGTCAGCAGCAGGACTAAACAGACTGCCTCCAGCTCCTTGGGTGTCTTGGCAGGGAGGCAGTGTCCTGCTTGCTACAGCTTGTTTTGGATGACAACAGGCCACATTTCATGTGGGGAGAGCTGTGCCCATCTTCAGTTCATATCAGCCTGCTTGTTTTTCTTCGCTCAGCTCTAAACACGTCAAAGATCCCTATAAATGCCTCTTGGGCGGCAAGTCAGACAAATATGCTTAATTAAAGAGAAAAAGGCAAGCCCCACAAGAACTGGCACAGGAACATCCATAAGAGACACAGTCCTGCCAGCAAGGCTCCCTGGGAAGAGTATGCAAGGAATACTTTGATGCAGTCACATCACAAGGAAAAATATAACCTATTATTTTTTTTGCCAGCCCAACTGCTCACTTCAGCATCGCCTTCAAAGGAAAGCTGTCACTTGTGAGAGCCCATACTATCATCTGACCCTGTCCAGCCCATCCCAGCCATCCCCAATGGCTAGAAAAAGGCCCAGATCACTTAGGCACATGCAAATCCCAACACGTGGTATACCTAGCGTGAATTCTGCACCTCAGGCTGCTCCCTCAACCTTTGACTTCAGTGTTACAGCAAAATGAGCCTCACAGCCATAGTCTTTCCCAGTGTATGGTGATGCAGCACCATGGAAACCAATGGGTACCAACAGTTACAGCATATTCTCCTAGGCCCTTTATTCTCTTTCATTCAAACTTCCTTATGTGCTTAACTTTGTTCCATAGCAGAGCTGCACTTACATCAAGGGAGGAAAGTCAAGGCCCCAAGTTTTAAGCATCACTTACTCAAAAACCCATAGTCTAGACACCTGACATTTGGTTCCTCCACCACACATTGATCTGGTGAGGGAAGAGGAGCAGAAAGCTGGGGAGCATCCATTATGCCTCAAGACTTGCTCTAAAGCACCGGTCCAGGAGCCGGCGTGGTATGGGGGCATCACAGTGCTTGTGCTTCATCCCACTGCGTGGCTGAGAGGAAAGTGAGTACTTTCTGTGACTCCCTAAAGCCTTCCAAGAGGAGGGCTCATGTGTCTGGAAAAAGAAAACATACTTGGCTTTTCATACACAGGCTGTTCTACACTGAGCTTTTAGGGAGGCAAGAAGAAATTGTGTTATGGACATGGGAGATGGAAACCGTGATCTCCTGTAGATCTCCCAAGCCCAGCAGCTATTCAGCTTCTGACCCCAGTGGATGGAGCCTCTTCACCTTTTGCCCAGAAAAATTACCCAATAAATAGGTGTTGTGTTTTATCAAGAGTAACTGCTGAGGCTGTTGCACCAGGTAAGTCAAGGTGGTAGCTCTTGGCTGGTTCCAGGTGTGGCTTACAGTAGGGTTCCCACCTGGGACATGCAACAGAAAACAGTGCAGAAATGAGAGCGGAAAAGTGTTAATTGCTCAGGGAGTCACTCCTTCCTGCACCATCTCCCTGAGATCTCTGAAAAGAGTCACCACGTGGAGTCAGAAACACAGCTGCCCCAGTCTCCAGGGAAGAAAACATGACTTAGTGTTAACAGCCAAAGGAAAACAAACACTATTTGTCTTTCACTCCAACTTCTGATTTCTCTTAAAACAAACCAGGCTCTTAGAGGTACTGGGGCAAGAAGAAGGGTGGGGAGGGTCAAAGATTAACCTTCCTCCTGTTAGCAGGCTCCAGGATCCTGGCCACAAGGACAGGAAAACATGATGCTGAGTGCCCAGAGTGCCCTCAGAGCCTCGGCTCTCTGGGCACGCTGCTCTCCCCCCATGATGCTGCAGAGCTGCCTGCCAGAGGGCTTCACCCTCCCACCCTCTCCAGCAGCATTTAAATGTTTTCCGCATGCACTGAGCAGTAACTTCGCTGGTGGATTTGAGGGAATCTGGACACTTACATAATTGAACTTTAATATAATGTAATTACTTTCCTCATGTTCTGTTTTGGTTGGTAGTGACCGTAGTCATGTCACTGTTTCCAGTTTCAGTCTTAAAGCAGGATGACTTTTGTAACAGAGATGTAAAAACAACCCCATCTAAAACCAAAGAGGAAGAACTCAATTCATAAAGTCATTTGCTCTTGCACATCTCTTCTGTCCTCATGCTCTCTGCCTGTTTTTCTCTCATCTCCTCCCTCTCCCTTTGCATTGCTGCCAGTGAAAGGTCAGCTGGATGTCTCCAAACACCTGACTCAGCCCCTCATATCTCCTTATAACCACTGTTTAAAATACCTCCATGTGGTTTGGTTTCTTCCTTTGCTGCACCACACAAGTCCACTACGTACCTCTACAGCCTTCTCTAAGTATCCCCAGGCGGTACTGGCACAGCGGCATTCACTAAGAAGTTTGCATGAAAGGTGTAATGGAAAGTAAAGTCATGATGCAACCCATCTTCTCATGTCCCAGCTGATTCCACCAGGCACAAAAAGTGGACTATAACTAGAGGATTTATCCTAGCCAAAGAAATCAGATCTCTTATGCTACTGGAACAATAAACCTGTTTTTAGCCTTAACAGCACATATAATACAGAACAAATGGATAAGCTGAAGTACTGTAATGGACTTTGTGGGAGTAACTTGCACAACCAGGGGCTAAAGCTTTATGACTGAAACCAAGCTGGACTCATGCCACTAAGAATCAGGGGGCTTATAATGTGTAATGAAGGGACCAAGATACAGAAAAGCATTAACAGTTAAATGGTTGTGTGTGTTTGACAAACTATTATAAAATTAGACTGGCACCAAGCACTGATATTTAAAAACAGCAGCAACAATATCATGTGCTTTTACAAAACTTTGGGCCATTCAAAACTTCCCTGTAAATGAAAAATAGAAGAGAAGCATAAACCCCCGCATTACACGGATAGAAATAACTGCCTTCCTCTACTTCGGGGGGGAAAAAAGGCAGGTAACTGATGGTGCACTTAGCACCATCCCTGCTGTGCTCCTTAAAGTCTGCACGGAATGAACTCGTTACTAGGCGAGTGGTGCACATCTCCAGGGTATGCATTCCCTCCTCGTTTGCATACACTTCTCTCATCAAAGCCATATTCAAAGCATCTCTGCTGCCTTCCAGGTTCGCACTAGAGCACCAAGGACAAGAGGCACTCAAAGCCGTGACTCCGGGCACAACAGTTTCAGCAAGGTCACGTTTTGACAGGTCTCTTGACAGACCGGAGGGCGAGACCCCACCGGCCAAAGGCACAGACGTGAACCCCCCTAACACCCATCCCCTTCCAAAGGGAAAAAACCCACCTCCGTCCCCGACGGCTCCCCAGGAAGCGGCTCCCCACCGGCCAGCACCGCTCGCCCGCTCACTGCTGCAGCCGGCAGCGCTCCCCGCCTCTGCCCCCGCCGGCCTGGGACCGGGGCACCGCTCCAGGCTCCCGAGCGGACGGAGCGCCGGGGGGAGCCCAGGGCCGCGCCGGACTGCGAGGAGCAGAACGCGACAGGACGGCCCCCGCCCTGCCTTCCCCTCCCCGTCTCCCCCGGGGTAACTCACTGCGGTCCGGGAGAGCCCCGCCGCCGCCGCCCGCCGCCACCAGCTCCAGGTAAACGGCCCAGAGCCCCAGAGCCAGCGCGGCCAGGGCCAGCAGCACCCGGCGCCGCCGCCGCAGCCGCGCCAACAGCCGGCCCCGCATGGCGCTGCTCAGGGCGCCCGGCCCCCGCCGCCCCGGGGCATGCTCCCGCCGCCGCACGGGCACCGCACGGAGCTGCCGCGGACCCCTTCCCCCGCGGGGCGGGCCCAGGTGCGGGGCGGCGCCGCGCCCCCGCGAGGGCAGCTCCCGGCCGCGCTCTGCCACCGCCCCCCGCACCTGCCTCCGCCCCGCGGGGGCCGAGCCCAGGCTCCGGGGCTGCCCCGGCACCGATCCCCACTCCGGCCGCTCTAGGGGCTGGCGGGCGCTGCGACCGGAGCGGGAGCGGGAGCCGCAGCCGTCCCTGTCCCCGACCGCGCTGTGGGGCCCGCGCTGCCAGAGAGCTCCGCTCCTGCCGTAGGCGACAGGAAAGCGGCTTCTGTGTCGGAGGAGGCGGGCGCGCCCTCCCGGCTCCAAGTCCTCCTCAAAGCCGGTTTTCGTAGCGCTGGGAGCGTTGGTGGATCCCTCGGGTGAGAGGACGGGTGGTGGTAACTCCTGTGCACAGAGGGAAGGAAGGAGGATGAGAGCGGAGCGATTCAAATTCACACGGTTACACACAGCTGAAATTAAGTGTTTCACCTGGTGCAACAAGTGTATTTGCTTCAAAGTGCTGTGCTCGGTCAGAATGCAAAGGTCACATGAAGCCTCCAAATGGGTTTTCAGATGCAGCTGGCTAGATGTGATGCTACACTGTTCAGACCCAGCAGAATGTTGGAGACTGCCGTAAGGACCAGGATGCTTGAGTGTGCTTACAGTATCATTCCATATCTCTATCACACTTTCAAAGTGACTCTCCCAGCTGTGCCCTCCATGCTGGTGGCTGGTTCACATCATCAAGTCCTCTCAAAGGATGCAGGCTGGATTCCTCCTGGGTGAAAGAAAACTGGATGATGCTGTCTAGGATACAGGATTGCATCCAGCTGGGGAGCTGATCCAGAACAACCTCTTCCCAAACATGTATGGTGCATGGCACCAAGCATTTCCCTTCATAGCAAAGGGCCTTAGGAAAGGTGCCAGAGGCCTTGTGAATGGCATGGAGTGCCACAGTGGAGTGGCACAAGCCCCAGCAGGGACAGCCTAGCATTGGCAGGGTGCTGGCATCTTAAGTGGTACATGGCCAGGGGCAGAAGCAGCATCTGTAGTCCCTGGCATGAACTGCCAAATACTGTGTTCACAGTGCTCTAGAACCCCTGGGATTACCTGTCACACATCGGGATGGAGAGACAGAGATGGGCTTCCTTTTTCTGAACATCTCACAAAGGTTTCAGATCCATCTCCCTACAACTTTCTGCTGGGAAGACTTATCTTACTTAGTGAAAGTGCATCTGGAGAGTGTTAACCTCACTGTGGAGGTGTAAAGACGTGATGTTTCTCAAGATGGGAACAAATCCCATAGCAGAGGAGGCTGGAAAGCAGCTCTGCCCTTGGGCTCTGCAGGGACAAAGTCCTTTCTGCAGCTTTCCAGGATGCAACACTTGCATTGCTCCTTCTTGGGGCTGCAGGTGGCACCAGCCCATGCTTGAATCATGGGGCTACTTCCTCTGGTGCAAACAGAAAAGAATGACAATAACCAGCCAACACTGGCATCCATATAGCTAAAAACTTGAAGGCCAGTGCAGTGTTGGTTTGGGGTTTTTCCAGCATGAGAAAAATAAACCAAGATTTTCACAGTTGTTAAAAGAAAAAGGGGGGTTAAAATGCTAGGAAAATGTGTAATAAATACAGATCTAAGTGAAGCTTCATTTGCCATTTCAAGAATGAGAACTGAAGTGATGTATTGTTAGTGGGAAGTCATCTGCATTTTTTAATGGACAACCTTAAGTTTGCAAAATGACAACTGCACTTTGTGGAAACTGTTGCACATTAAAATATTAAAATAAGTAAGCACATTTTTCTTTGTGAACATGGCACTAAAATAGGGGGAAGGGGAGAGTGAAATTGTAGGCTAACAGGTAGTAATGTTGTCTTGTAAAGGAACATCTTTTTCTTGATAGATGTGTGCTATGATGAAGACACAAAAAAGCTGTTATCTCTGGAGAGAAAGCTTGAGAAAGTGTGGCATGTTAATGCCTCTCTCATGATATAGTTACAGTAGAACAATATTAAGGAACAAAAGTGATCTGGATGTGTAACAAATAGTGAAAGGAGGAATCTGAATAGCCCTACACTGTAAAATAACTTATTTTGGATCACTTACTCATTGTAGAAAGCACTAATGCGCAGAAGTAAGATTATCACTTACAGCACTGTTCTGAAAACCTCAAAGATAAAGGCTTTTACCCCAATTCTTGTATTCCCAGTTTCTTAAGTGCCTCACACCACACGAGTGTGTGCCCAGACCTCCACATCTCTCATCTCTCTGGGTGCAATATGGCAGGAGCTGGAAACAACGGCTTGTAATAATAATCCCATATGCTGGAGTCAGCCCCCTCAGGGAGAAAGGCAGGAAGGGAGCCAGAAGCAGGCGGTGGAGAAGCAGAGCCTGTGTCACATTGCACTGACCCAGCCAGGGAGCCGGCAGTGCTGATGGCCCTGACAGACCATCCTGGAACACTGGGCAGAGGGCTTCTTCCTTCAGGATGCACCTCTCCTGGCCTACCCCAAATACCTGCTTCAAAAAGTGACAATTTGCCCCATGAGCCAACTGGAGTAATCTGTGCTTTGTTTTGGTTCTTGTTTATTTTCTGTTTTGGTTATTTTTCCTCATGATAAAAGCAGCCTTTGATATTAGCACAGCCGTTTAGGACGAGCATCTCCTGTTCCTTCCAGCCCCCCTCTCTAGCTAGGCCTCTGTGCATCCCTGATTCTTCTTGTTACGCTTTTGCTTCTAGTTATCTAACAACTGTTTCTCTGTTTTGTAAATTACTTTTAGCACTGTGCCAACATCCTTTCTCTGTAGGCTCCCCAAAGGTTCAATTATCTGCCACTTGCTCCTTCCCTTCTTTCTTCTTGTGTAATTTTCCTTTTAACACTAATTACCAGCTCCACACCAAAGGCATCCAACTGCCCCCCGCTTCCACCAGCCCAGCAGCTCCACACCCCTCTCCCTGACCTCAGCTATGCTCTGAAGCACAAACAATGACTTCAACTGAACACTCACCATCCAAACAGCTCCAAGACAGAAGTGTTTCTAAGAGGAAGAGCCAGTCTCTGAAGACACAGCTCCCTATTATTTCCCCTTCTGGCTCCTCAGGAATGGGCAGGGCTCTAAAAGGGGTTACTGGGGGAGCTCTCCCAGAAAAAATCCTGTCAGCACTGAAATCTAACATGGCAGTAAAGATATCAGTACAGATCCACAATTAACAGGCTATGAACAGAAGGACCTTCTTGCCCAGTTAGGCTGTACTGACATAATGTGTTTTGCTAACACACTAATCAGCAATGTGGTTTCTACTAACACAGTTACTATACCAACATTGTGTGAACTGGCCTGACTGGGGGTTTGAGGTTTCCTCGGCTTTTACTGCTCACAAAGCTACACTCCCTTCATTATGGCCCTGGGTGACATCATCATGCTCATGCCCCAGTGTACCTGCCTGGTTGGAAGCCTCACTCAGGATTCTCTGCTTTCACTGCTTAACTCCATAGGTATTAAACCCCAGCTGTCCAGATAAAATGACACTGAAATGGCTGTCTTTCCTTTCCAGCTGTAAAGAGGACACGTGTTTACACAAACTCCATCCAGCACCTCTAGAAGCATCTTCTTTTTGCAGGTCCTGCCCCACAAGTTGGCCTGAGTTGCCAAATTCTCACTATCAAGAGCACTTCCAGAAAAGGCTTTTTATATACTTAGAGCTGAAAACTTTCAAAATACGTTTCAGGGTTTAAACATTGACCACAATGAAATATCTACATATTTGATCCTTTTGGAAATACCTGTTTTCAAAGCTAAATTTCCTCCTTCCCCCACCATTAAAAATACCAGCACTTGTTCACTTGTTTTGTTGGTGTTTTTTTTTTTTTTTAAGTGCCTGTGCTCACCATCCTTATGTTTCAAGAAGTTCCAAAGACGTGCCACAATCATGTTATCAGGGCCACTACAGAACACAACATGGTGCAGTTCTCCCTGTGATGACACTGAGCAGAATTCTGTTTGCCCAAGGTAGTCCCAAAGAGGAAAACTCTGGTTTACTGGGTGGTTTAGAAGCGACTTTACCCTGAGATAAATGGTTAGTGTGACATAAAGGCCATCTGACCTCTGAATCAATACAGGAAAACCCAGCACATCCCAGACATTCTTCACCAGGGTAAATTGAGAGCTTTTTTTATTCAAAACAAACATATTCCAACAATGAAACCCTTCATGCCTGCGTAGTTAATCACTGTCTTGCTTTAACATTGATACACTTCTGTGTCGGAACCCTCTCTGGGTTTTCAGAATAGAACCAAACAATCCGTATTTACACACATCTGTCCACAATGCAACAGCATCACAATTCTCAAAATGGGAAATGTAGTTAGTATGAACAGTCAAGCCCTGTTGAGCTGTTTATAAAGCTGTATTTTTTGAGCTTATGTGAAGAACCACCACTCAAGCTCACATCCAAAGCTGCCCTTTCTCTAAACTATTCATTTGGTGCTACAAGGGAAACACCAGAAGTCCATCCCACTCTTCTCAAATACTTCAGTCGTAGAAGAAACGTTTCCTGCTGGTGGGTTAAACTCCAGTTACCTCTGACAGCCTGGTTTCAGACAAAGTCCTATACTTCTGATGCAACGTTAAGAATCAGAACAAACTTTGGTCTTTATGCCTAGACCCTATGAATAAAGGCAGCCAAAAGGAATCATGACAGCTTTCACCTCTCATGCCTTTTATGCTGTGTCCAAGCATATTTTGGTACATAATCCCAGTCTAAGCACTAGAAAGTGTGTTTACATATGTCTACAACTAGACTTGCAAATTAAAGAAGTAACTATTTTGGGATTAAAGGGGATACGTATTTCTTACAATTCAAAATAACTTAGAAATATAAAAGCAAAATATCATGGAAAAAAATAGAAATATCAAATTACTTCCTGGCATACATGCAGAGCCATTCCAATTACAGAATATCAAGCTGCCCAGAGTCCATCCATACTAGTAAAACATCTGTTCTTATGCACCAATACTATTACTCATATAAGCAATTTACCTACAGCCATGGCATACAAGTACATACTATGCTATTATTTAGCTTTACTCCAACAGCTATCAGAACTATGGCTACTGTTAATCTGCTTTTCAAAGCACATGGTCTCAATTAATTTAGGAATTACTGCAAGGTGTGGTATAGGAAGATCATGAGAGATTTAAGGTTTTATTTATTTTCTTTTTACCTTGTGTACCCTTCCTGTACAGGTGAGCTGATGCAGCATTCATTCCTATAATTAAGGCAATTGCAGGCGTGCTGAAAAATTCATACCAATATCGCATATAAATTAATCAAAGGTTTAAAGCCAGAAGGAACTATTAAATGATTTCCTGTTAGTTCACATCATTATATTTCATTAAGTTCTAATGTGTCAAATCCCGTAACTTATTAAAACAAGCTGCCTTCTCCAGAGGTACAATCATTTTTTGATTTGCAGGTAGAGATGGGAGAATCTGTTACCTCCACAAACAGTTTCTTATAATGAGGGGAAAAGCACAAGCTTCCTGTTAAAAATGCACGCTCCTGTTTTTACTAACTTCAGGTTCAGGCTACTGGTTCTTGCTCAGCCTT